CCCGCGAATGCGGCTGGGAGCAACCGTCGAGGCCCGTTTCCCCTGCGGCCGGGGTCAGGAGCTGCGACCCGCAGGCTCCGAGGGGGTTCAAGCACGTTGGCCCCCTCTCCCCTCCCTCTCCCCTCACCCCCCCCAACTTGGCACAGCTCGGACGTCCAGTTGTGCATTATTTGGTTTCGTGCGCGTTTTTCGTTCCTCGATGTGATCCGAGATGCCCCAGGATTTTGCAGATTGTCTGGCGCTGTACTCGCTGATAAAAATGCACGCGTTCGAGGAATACCACGCCCAAATCTCCTCCTCCTCCTCCTCCTCCTCCTCAGCATCATCATCATCATCATCATCATCATCATCATCATCATCATCATCAGCATCGTCATCATCGTCATCATCGTCATCATCACCATCACCATCACCATCACCATCACCATCATCATCATCATCATCATCATCATCATCATCATCATCATCATCATCATCATCATATCATCATCAGCATCATCATCTTATTTCATCATCATCATCATCATCATCATGATGATCATCATCATCATCATCACCATCATCATCATCATCATCATCATCATCATAATCATCATCATCATCAGCATCATCGTCATCACCATCATCAGCAGCAGCATCATCGTCATCATCGTCATCATCATCACCATCACCATCACATCACATCATCATCATCATCATCATCATCATCATCATCATCATCATCATCATCATCATCATCATCATCATCATCATCATCATCATCATCATCATCATCATCTTATTCATCATCATCATCATCATGATCATCATCATCATCATCATCATCATCATCATCATCATCATCATCGTCAGCATCATCGTCATCACCATCATCAGCAGCAGCAGCAGCATCATCATCATCATCATCATCATCGACAGAGCGCATTCTACCGCTGCTGGCGGAAAACTGGAGAGGGTCACTGGGGGTTCCCAACCCGTCCCAGCCCCCCCCCTCGAAAACCGGGGGGGGGGGGGGTCACTACCGGTTCGAAGCCCACCCCCCACCCCCACACTCCATCATGAAAAGGGGGGGGTACTATCGGTTCGAACCCCCCCGACCCCTCGAACATCGGGGGGGGTCACTACCGGTTCGAACCCCCCCCCTCCCCCTCCTCGCCGCCGGCAAACGATTCCCGCTCCTCGGGACAGTTGGACAATGGTGGGGGTACTGGGACAATGGTGGAAATGGTGGTGGTGGGGACAGTGGTGCGGGGACAGTTGGACAGTAGTGCGGACAATGGTCGGGACGGTGGTGGTGGGGACAGTGGTGAGGGGACAGCGGGACAGTGGTGGGGACAGTAGGACAGTGGTGGGGACGGTAGTGGTGGGGACAGTGGTGAAGGCAGAGGTTAGGACAGTGGTGGGCAGTACTACGGTGGGGAGAGTGGTGGGGACAGTGGGGACAGTGGGGACAGTGGTGGGGACAGTGGGGACGGTGGGACAGCACAGTGGGACAGCGTTGGGGACAGTGGGACAGTGGTGGGCACAGTGGGGACAGTGGGACAGTGGGGACGGTGGGGAAAGTGGGGAGAGTGGGACCGTGGTGGGACAATGGTGGGGAGGGTGGGGACAGTGAGACACTGGTAGGGGCACTGGTGGGGACAGCGGGGACAATGGTGGGAACAGTGGGGACAGTGGGACAGTGGTGGGGACTGTGGGACAGTGGTGGGGACGGTTGTGGTGGGGACAGTGGTGTGGGGATAGTGGGAATGTGGTGGGGACAGTGGGACAGTGGTGGGGACAGTGTGGTGAGAGCGGTGGCGAGGACGGCAGGGGACCCAGAGGTACAGTGGGGACAGTGGTGGGGACAATGGTGCAAACAGTGGGACAGCTCAGTGGGACAGCGGCGGGGACAGTGCCCCCCCCCCTCGCCGCCGGCAAAGGATGCCCGCTCCTCGGGACACTTGGACAATGGTGGGGGTACTGGGACAGTGGTGAGAACGGTGGTGGTGGGGACAGTGGTGCGGGGACAGTGGGACGGTGGTGCGGACAGTAGAGGGGGCGGTGGTGGTGGGGACAGTGGTGAGGGGACATCGGGACAGTGGTGGGGACAGTGGGACAGTGGTAGGGACGGTAGTGGTGGGGACAGTGGTGAAGGCGGTGGTGAGGACAGTGGTGGGACAGTAGTACAGTGGGGAGTGTGGTGGGGACAGTGGGGACAGTGGGAATGTGGTGGGGACAGTGGGGACGGTGGGACAGCACAGTGGGACAGCGGCGGGGACAGTGGGACAGTGGTGGGTACAGTGGAGACAGGGTGACCGTGGTGGGGACCGTGGGGAAAATGGGGAGAGAGGGACCGTGGTGGGACAATGGTGGGGAGAGTGGGGACAGTGAGACACTGGTAGGGGCACTGGTGGGGACAGCGGAGACAATGGTGGGAACAGTGGGGGCAGTGGGACAGTGGTGGGGACAGTGGGACAGCGGTGGGAACGGTGGTGGTGGGGACAGTGGTGTGGGGACA